TACCCAGCTAGAACTACTGTTACCGATATCTTAACGACCAGTGGACTACCTCATTGTACGTAGCTGGGGTGCCATCTTCTTTCACACGGTTGGGAAATAGTTAACCGTAGAAGTATAAAACATACTACGAACTGGCAACCAAACAGTCTCGTATCAGGTTGTGGGAGTACGACTTGCGAAATTCACGGAGAACTATTCGATCAGATCGTAAACAGGGCATGAGTGAAGACGATCCGGTGATGTGACACGATGAAGCAATCACATTGTTGCTTGACACACGTATGATGGTGCAGCGGGTAGGCAACATGGAGGCAGTGGATTTAGGGATGTCTAAATGGGAAATTCATTCTGTCAACAAATGTTATCAAGGAGAGTTAGCGGGTTCGCACACCTGTTGCGCATGTCGAGCAGTCACCCACCGGATCGAATCCCGGTTTCGGTTTCAGCACTCTATGGTGCGCAATTCAACAGATCACGCGGGAGAAAAACATGAGAAACTGCACCAGAGATGTATCCCATAGAATCATATATTTTTCATTCAACGGTTTGTAATATTCCAATGCCCTGTAACTGATTGTCGTCGTTCATTTTAGGTCTTGACAGAACATGGAAAAAACGGAATAGTGATCAATGAGATCGATGGCAGTGTGATCCGGAATACAAAACAAGGACCCTGTCGTTGTTAGGAGGTACAAACTGGACAGCTCCACACTGTCTGTCTCTTGAAGTTAGAAGAGGGAGTACAAGAAGTAGATCATTGACTACGTATATATACATATATATATATATATTATATATATAGTAAACATCAACCTTTACAGATACGTTGCCAAAGTAACCATGGGTTTGACACAAAATATAAATATATAAATAAAAAAAATAAATATATAAATAAATATAAATATAGAAACAGAGAAGGGAAAACAGAAACAAAAACGGTCAAAAATTTGGAGATACGAGCGTTTTTGCTTGTTTACTGCACGCAATTTTGACTGTTTCCTTTGTTTGTTTGTTTGTTTGTTTGACTTTCGGGATCGTACACAGGAAGGGCTGCATTCACACCACTGACTTCGGTTCGATGCCATAACGCACGGCGTCTCCAGTCAAAGACAATCTGAATCTTTGGGGCCTCATCCGGGGATCCGGGAAACCCCGACGGAAGTTAAATCGGAGTACAATCCCTTCAACCCTCTGCGCCACGTCACAGCCTGTCCACCTCGCTATTTCTTCCAGCCGGGGCCGATGTCTGCAAATAATACACGGTATGGCAGATTTTGTTCAGGCCTTCGTAGGACAAGCCCTAAGCCCCTCAGACGATGCAGTGAAATAGTTTTGCTCAGTGGAAGACTATCTGATCCTAACACGCGTCGTTTGACCTCATCGTTATTCACGCGATGCTCCCAGCATACGCAGGCGATACTGCGCAGGGCAACGGTTGTCGAAGACGCATAGTCGTTGGACATGACCTACTCGGAGAGGTCAGGTTTCGTAGCCATAGAATAACACGGCGCACACGGTTGTGCAGTACACACACCCATTCAGTGATGGCCAATAAACTAATCTGTATCTCAACCCGCGAATAATTTTGCGAATCCAACAGTACTACCGTGGATCAGTTTTTCACCTCGTTTCCCCTATCGCTTAGGTAGACCTAATTCCCGCTCTCTTACTGGGCCTTTTTTGTATTTGGTTTGTATACAGTTTACAAAGCACGAAAAAAGGTCAGTGAATCTCCTCTGGATGAATAACAACGTACGATAATGAGGAGGATGACGATGATGAACCAATCAATTAGTGATTTCGATTAAAACGAACTATCATTCAAACCTTGTCTTCAAATACATTACTGAATTCATTCAAGCAAATCTAGACTCAGGAGACACTGTATTCGAGTTTCACACTCCTGAGAGTTCATCAGTGCTGTATACCCACAGTCTCGCCTGAACCCATCATATGGGAGGTGTGTGTGCTAACACTTTGTCAGATAGCGTGGCTAATCAGAATCGCTAGTTCATGTTTGTTCAGAGGACGTCTTCAATGATATTCATTCAGTCATTTGGCTCAACAACAACGAAAGGAGACAGTTGAGTATCCGTTGACTCCATTCTAAAGCCTCGCACGAAGTCAAGGCTTCCATGGCTTCCATGCACTGGACCTGACACCAAATACCTTCGACAGGGAACATTGAAGTTTCGACGAATTTCGCTATGGAGGGATAACACAGAACGGGTAAAATCATACTCATCGTAGAACACTATGCAGCGTGGCACACAAGATAACGCACACAAAATCAATACCATTTGGCCCCCGTGGATTTTATTTGACAGACAAGCAGATTCCGTTCCAACGAGAGGATGATTATCCTGCACGATATTACAATTCGCGATCGGGACGTACAAATCTCGCCTTCACAGTGCACTAGCAACGGCGATTGGAACCACTCAACTAAAGCCGCCTGATTTAGTTCCGGACTTGGATCGTCACCTCGAAACGCGTCATGCTACTGATTTTGGACATTCTCTAGATGGTGCATCCGGGTGACTGGAAATCAGCGTCTCCCCTCATGCATGAAGCGAATATGTTTGTGTATTGGTTGTATGTGTACCGACCCACTGGCGGAAACCACTGACCAAGTTTCAGTATGCTCATACCGAGCGTCCTGACCTGTTGCTACGTGACCGTATGCTATCCACTATAAAGACCTTAGCGACTTGACACTCCGTCGCGCTCATGTCTCACCCCGAATCTTTGGGTTCATGGAGTTTGTATTTTCCTCTTTTGTAGATTTTCAGTTCACGCTCTCCACAGAGGATCTCCTGTCTGTCAACGACGGTTTCAGCGCAAACCGAAACTCGGCCCACACTTGATTGTGACTGGTGCATCCGTTCACGGGGACATGGTGCCATACATACACACGGGTCCAAGTATATAACACCATTTCATCCAGCTGCGCTTGATCGGTGCGGGACAGGGAGAGTGGCTTAGGTTATATTATCGATCAAAGCAGTCACACATACATATATAGCACAGGTTTGTAAACAATCATGGTGCCAACACCACAACAATAATAACAGTGACAATAACACGGAGCAGGTGGGTTGAAATACAGAGCAAAGTGGGAGGAAGGTGGAACAGTTAAAATAGAAAAAGTAGGAAACTGGGATATTTGTGTGTGTGTGTTTCATTGTACATCTTTTGACATTTTATACCAGTGTTCAATTCAGACCAAATCAGTTGACGCTACCGAAAACCATACCGAACTCAAATTGGTGTAGCGCGCAGAATTGTGCCAACTGTGCGTGGTGATCCAAAAATGCTGCCAACCGTAATTTGTTTGACATCAAAACGTTTTTGTTTTGAATATGTTTTGTTCTGTTATTTTCCATCAATATCATACTGGATTTCATTTACTCTGCTGCTATTTGGGTTGCTACACAGGGAGAAATTGTGGGAACTGAGATCTGGGGATTAAGGTAGCGGTCATTTCATAGATGCACCTCTACCGGTATAATATCCTCGAAAGACTGTGCCTAAGTAATTGCGGATGAATAGTGCTCAGGATGTGTCTTGTTCTAAACACAAATCTTCCTTACTTCCCTTATGGAACAGGGGCTGTACTCTTTTTCGGTGCAAAAACCGTAATCAGCCTCTATCCTTTCCCCATAGACAGACATTTTATCCGTGAAGAACGGGTTCGGGATTAGTCCAAAATATGGAAAATTTCGATAACTCAAACCTCAAACCTAACAAAATAGGTGACCTTTGTAAAAACATGGCATAAATTCGGTCAGCTGATCACTTACCCCGCTTGAACGCGGTGTTCCACAAGGTGCCCATCCGAGCGTCGACTGTATCACGAGCATAATGTCCCGCAGCGGGCACACGGGATGAAACACCGGGCATCGTGTCTGCGAGTGTAACTACTGCATGCGATTTAGCCCCAATCGTGGATGTCCCTGGTACAGCAGGCCCCGTTCCGTCAGGCCGTTCAGGAAAACCACTGGCAGCATATGTGGCGTACGGATTGATATTACCTAAGCAGGAAAAGAGGAGATGATACTCAGAGAGTAAATAAACTGTTACATAATCATCGTTTATTAATAAGCAACAAACTAACAATGTGAAACAGAAATATCACGAGGAATCCGGGACACGAAATAAGACATACCTTCACTATCTACCGAATTGGTGGATAGACGATCTTCCTCAATAGGAACGCGATTGGTCACGTGATCTGAAGGATCAGGAGCTGTGGTTCCTCCG